AAGTGACCATATTAAGAAAAGACTTCAGTGGATTATACAACATCAAGATGTGTACTGAAATAAGGTTGTATTTACAGATGAGAGTTCATTTCATATAGAACAAGTGATAATCCGTGTATGGGAAAAGTGTGGCGAAAAATATTATGTCTCAACAGTGACGCATTCTGTCAAAATTCATGTTTGAGGCTGTTTTTAGCAAACATGGATTTAGAAAACTGGTATTATTTAGACAAACATTAAATTCAAAGTTTACATGTAAAATTTATAAAAATGGACTCCTGCCATCAGTAAAAAAATAGTTTGGTGATAATAATTATAATTGGAAACTTTTAGAAGATAACGATCCACATCAATCAATAATTTCTTTGTAAGAATCAAAAAAAAAAGAATGGAAAAATTAGTCGATTCCATGGAAAAAAGAATACGACTATTAATCGAAAGAAAAGGCGATTATATCAATTATTAGGATAATGTACATATAATGTAGATTTTGTAAATAAGATATAATAAAATAACTTCGTTATCTTCCTCATTTTCTCAATCGTGCCCAGTTATGGCGGATACTGTATGGGCAAAAAACCGAAAGGAGACCTCTGAGGTGATTCCTTCATTACTATAACTTGAATTCATTCTACAATAATACATAAAACACTATGTTTGAGTTCAATTGACAATGAAAACTCTGTATCAAATCTTTTTTTTTCAAATATTTGAAAACAGTGGTTTATATGTTTCAGTTTTCCGAGATCATTATGAATAATTTATGCAAATAAAATTATCAATGAAATAATCAAAAGCTCATATAAATCATTAACGAAAAACTCGTGTTGTTTTTCTTTTCATTTAGAGTTTTTGAGTAAAAAAAAACTTGTATTTTTTTCTTTTACAAATTATAATTGACATAATATATATTGCATGATGGTTCATGAACAACAATGATAAAACTTTTTGACTTTGAATTAATAACGATTCATTTAAATTCGATCATAAATGACTATTTTAAAAACACTCGGCATAGGTGTTGAAAATAACACATAATAAAAGCAATGCGAAGAAGTTATATAGATTGATTGTAATATTGTTTCAATCAAGATTAACACATATATAAATATATTGTCTCTGATCTCAAACTATGCCATAGGTTTGTGTTCTGTTTTGAAGTTTTTATTTATTTATTTCATGAGGACACATCATTGAATAAGCAATAAATTAAGCTTGATTTCATAGGTTTACTTTTATTGATATGTTTGTTGTCATTGTCTAGATATCGATTGGATCTTTTTAAAAAATTTTTATCGTTTTTCTATGTCTCGAGTTAACATGTATTACATTGTCCATTCCATTTTTTCATCTTTGAGAAAAATTAATAAATAATAATTTCATGGATATTTCGTAGAAGAATATACGATTCATTATAACGGTATCTTCCTGCTTCATTAACCGATTTTTTTTTCTGAACAGTTTTCGATTAGCGATTGTAGGTATTAGGTCAAAGTCTGATCTTCCATAAATGACATGATTTTTTATTTGACATCTCGTTTTTTGCCAAAATGGTTGATGATTTTTGTTTTTCTTTTAATTACACAATCGACAGAATTCTCCGTAAGCCTTCATTCTATGTCTTTAATTATTTTTTTTGTTTAAAGTGAACTTACCTTCGCTTAATGGTCTCCTCTTTTGGATATTTCTAAAGAATGACTCATCAGAAAAATTTGTCATCCCAAAGACTGTCTCCTATGAGATATCCTAGTAAAAAATGTGGAACTTTCTAAAGTGTTCCACACTTTTCATTGGGGTCTGTTTCTTCGAGATGCTATGTTTCGTTGAGCTGAAAATTTTTTACAGACACTAGGCACTGTTTGGAGTAAGTATATTTTTATCTTTTTGTGAGAGTTACCAAAAATCAGCAGAACGATAACAAGAATATCTATCCCAAACAATGTATAGTAGGCCGGAGAAATGGGAGCGTTTCTTCACTTTTTTTCTCATGAAAAAGTTCGTTTGAGAAAAATGCGAAACAATGGACAATTTTCAGATGTCAGAATACATTCACTAGATAGATACAACTAATCTTTTAAACAAAGAAAAAATTAAGTATACAGAATGAAGACTCACAGAGAATCTTAGGTTGCCAAATAAGCTATTTTTTTATCCTAGTTCATTGAATATCTTTCGAAAACGAAAAAGCCGAAAGTAAGTAATGTCTTCAGTAGATGATGATTTTAAGCATCTTTAGTTCATTTTTATTTTCCCGATAACTCTACTGATCTGAATTTGTAACCAATAGTAATATCTGGCATAGATTAACAAAACGAGTCAGACAATAAACTATTATACAATTAAAATTCAATTGTCATAGCTGCAGCTTTTGCATCTTTACTAAATTTAAGTGATCTACAATCGTCAACTATTTCATGGCAATTCAACGTCGTATGAACAATATTATGACGGTGTTATAAGTGTACTATGGAATACTTATCATGTTTTTTAAGCCTTTACTTATGTTTAATTTCTGTTGGAATGTTAGTAGTTATTATCTCCTCTATAATAAAGCATGTACCTCGCTAGTCAGAATTTTCTGAAGTATTTTTACAAACATTTGAACACTTATCTATATAACTATTATTATTCATTATTTTTATTTTTGCAAAATCTATTTTTTATTAAATGACAATGTCTTCAAACAGTATTATACTACATAGATCGATTTGATTAATAACTTCTCTTGAGATTAGTTTTAACTTTTATCTTTTTTGATTTTTATGATAATTAGTTTTCTTCAATGCTCTTATCTTAAAATAAGATAGATGAGTTCTATATGTTGTTACTATTGAATATAACTAAGAAAATGATAATAACTTATGTTATTATCATTTGATATATAAGAATTGTTCTTTCACATTGTTTGCCTCATTAAAAGATCATTTTTCATTAAATTTTCATCATTCTGCTTAAGAAACTATCGATATACTTAAAACAAAAAGAAAAAATTCTTTTTTTCTTGAGAGATGAAAAATTTTGCCTATTGGCTATTTTTTTTTGTGATTTTTGGTGATCGATTGAGTCGGCGAATATCTCTCTATAATTGTGTTACATCAACATAACACCGCATGAGATTGTCAGAATAAAGAATATGAGTCAAGTAGATGTGATCTTTCTCTTTCTTTTTTGCTTCTTAGGTGTTATTATTTATTCGCTAAAAGAAAATGACTTCACAACATTGTATGCATCATTGAGCAAAAGGCGGATCTTATATCGCTTCTATTGAGATGAACAAATATTACGATATAACTATTCGATCAATTCTTGTTGAAAAGAAAATTAGAAAATTTTTGCGAGAGAAAAAATTTTTTTATCCCGGATGCTGACTTTCTCTTAATATAATTCTCTAACATCTATAATTGAGTACAAATGATAATCATCCGGACATTCGATAAAAGAAAAAAAAAAAAACAATAAATCTGAATAAACAAATAGTTTTATTTCTATCAAGCTTAGTATCATTCATCTTCTTTTTTGACAAATGAATAATGTGTATCATCTTGTTTTTTTTTTTTCTTCTTACCAAATGTCTGCTAAAATCTGAGGCTATGTTAAAACACATAATCTTTGTTTTTTTTTCTTAATTCATCATTAAATCAATAATGCCAACTCTTCAAATCGTTGTTTGGAGTGTGCTAAATCGTGTTATATAGTCAAACTTGTCTATAATTTATTTATTTCAGAAATAGGTATAACCAAGAGTAAGCTATGCCGAGTGCCGCTCTATCACTGAATCACTCATGATCTCTTGATTATGTTATTACATAAATGCTAAAGCAGTAGCACATTCAGAATTTTTATGATGGGAAAATCTTTTGAAAGAAAGATGATTGCTTCCAGTCCTTCGGCCTTCTCTAAATCCGCCAATGTGCTAAAGTTCATGTTTCTTAAACTAAACATTTTACTTTTTTTTTTTTTTGAAAGGATCATAATAAATCTAATTCTCAGATTTTTTTAAAATATATACCACCAATGATAAAATGATTGTGAATCGTATTTTTGGATCTAAAATATGAAATTTACGATTAGAAAAATTTTTTATAGATATATATTTTTTGATTTCTATTTCAAATTAGTTTAACGGCAATAATTTGTCCATTTAGTTAATTCAATAACTAGGAAAATGCAGCATGCAATGATTATTTGTACTATTCATATGTATCTAAGAAAATTTCTCCTAACCGTAAACCCTATATTTTATATCAAAAAAAAAAAAATACGATTTGCAATCATTTTGTCATTGGTAGATGCATTACTTGTAAAAATATATTATTCAAAATATCAAAACTTCTTCAATAAAAATTTTTTTTGTTGTTGACGACACACAAGCAGGTGTCAATGATATGAGGACGAATATTTTTTTTTTTTTTGTTTTTTATTCGTATATGCACAGTAGGGTAATAACAACTTCTGTCAACGATAATAAATGCATTTTGATCATGCGTAGCCTATGGTTGGTCGAAAAAAAAAACGAACTAAGGTAATTATATCTATACACAGGTAGACAGAAAAAAAAGTATATGTGCTTTCAAATGCCATAAATCATATTTGGCAAGTTAGATACACCCTCATCGTCAATCACACTATTGACGAAGAAAGAATAAAAAAATAAAAAAGAAAATTTTCTTTTTTTTTTTTTGGGACAGCTTCAGGGTTTTGTGTATATAAAAATTTGTTTGATGCTTGATTTGTTAACACGTTTCAATGACATGAGACACTTTCTTTTTTTATCTCGTATTTTATTGGTTATTATCAATATTCTTTTTTTCTCGAATGAGGAAAAAGCAAGAGAGAAAAGACAAGGAAAAGAAAAAAAAACAGAAATAACTCATCCATAATATTATATATTTTTCTATTTTAGTATAAAGAAAAAAGAAAAAAATAAACAATCGAACTCAGTTTTTTTTTTTCTTCAATTTATTAATAATTTCTAACATCACATTCCAAAAGAACTTATTATGGTAAAAACTGAACATCGTTATTCAATACCATGGGAAACAATTCATCAACAACAACAACAACAACAGCAAGTTGATTATTATATGGATATACCAACAAATTCTTATACGAATGTTAATTTAATTATTAATAATACAAATCAAACAACTTCAATAGATACATTACAAAATGTATCAACAACCGAAAAAAATTTATCATCAAATGAATTTAATTTAAAAATAACATCTAATCATAAAGAAATATATCCATGGATGAGTGAAAAAAAACATGGAAATAATAAAAATAAACATAATTCAAAAAATTCAAATTCTTCAATATTTCCTACTTCTGGTATGATTTATTATTTTTTGTTTTTCTATTCGATTAGAAAATTTAAAAGATATCAAATTCAATATGAATATGTAGAATCTCTTTCGATTCATTCTAGATTGAGAAATCGACTAGAAAGATTTATATAATACACAATTTTCACTATACAGAAAAATCTCAAGGACCCACTGTCATCAGGAGGATTCGCTACGTAATCAAATTTCAAAAGAAGAGAGCATTGTATAGGAAAGTTTCAAAACCAGGGAAGACGTTACATTTCACGCTTTGGACTATCATCTGTAGTGTCTAGTTTCCTCCTGTTTGATGAGAAGATTAGAAAAAACCTTAGGAACTGTTGATAGCTTTTGTTAATTTATTTTGTTAGCATTGAAAGTTATGAAAGATCATAAAGTTTAAGTTTAAAATCTAATTGGTTTTTCAAGAGATGCACAACATGAGATAAAAATAATTTTTTTCTTTTTTTTTTTTATAAATAAAGTAAATTCAATAGAATCTATTCAATTTAAATGTAGAAATAATTTGATCATCTATTGAATGTGTCTTTTTTTTTGCTCAACAAAATCTTCCAAATTAAATAATTCTTAAATAAAGTGTGAAGTTGCGAATGACGAGTGTTAAATAATACAAAAACATCAAGGATCAATGATTTCTTCTTTTTTTGTTTTTTAAATTTAATGTTATTTAGAATAGGATAGGTGAAAATAATTTATGAACCTAGGAGAAAAAAAAAATCAAGATGTGTTTTCATTCGACACATATTTAAAAAAGTAACTTAATTTATTCTTCGAATATTATAAACGTATGTTTCTACTGATGCATGTTTTTCATCTGACAGACGTGCATGTATGAATTCACATGACAATGATAAATGAGTATATCATTATTCATTGAATATCATCCTGTCGTCTTCTTTAGAGAATATAAAAAACATTGAAGACTTATCATCGACTTGTTATTTTGTGTATTGATAGAACTTATGAGATGGAATTTTGTTTTGTTTTGTTTTTTTTTTACATAGATAAAAATAATTCAACATTAATATCAAAACGAGCTCGAACAGCTTATACAAGTTCACAATTAGTTGAACTTGAAAAAGAATTTCTTTATAGTAAATATTTAAATCGTCCACGACGTATTGAACTTGCACAAACACTTTGTTTATCGGAACGACAGGTAGTAGAATTAATTTGTATTTTTATTTAATTGTGTTTGTTTATTTTTTTATTTTTTGTTCTTGTTCTTTTCAATTGTGTAATTTATAGATCAAGGTAAAGAATGAAAAAAAAATGTTGATTTCAAAAATTTCTTTTTTTCTTTTCTTTTTTTTAGATATGGTTTCAAAATCGTCGAATGAAAGATAAAAAAGATGGCAAAAATCGAATATCATATACGAATGGATGTAATAATAATTTAAATAATTCACCATTAGCTAGTTCAACAACAGAAAAAGATGATTTAACATTTCGTTCATATCATCATCATCATAATTATTATCAACCAACACCACCTATATCCGTAACATTTCCTTCTATACCATCATCATTTCAAAATCAACTTAATTATAGATCATCTCAAACAAATAATTTATATGATATGACAACAAATTATTCTATAAAACAATCAAATTATTATAATAATCAAAATAATTTTAAAACAAATTATCATACATCAATATTTCCAACATCATATGATAATTATTATTTTAATTCAGAAAATTCAATAATACATCATCAACAACAAACCGGTTCAATATTACCACCATTTGTTTAGAACAAATTTTATTCCTAGTCTTATGTTAATTTGTCTTTTTGTATAATATATATATTGACTATATGAAAAATTCATTATATAGAAAAGTACATCATATATGAATTGATAAATATTTGATAATATTGTTTGTAATTGAAGATATTCATTGCGATGATATTCAAAAATATATTTCGAATTTCATTGATGTGCAGGAGTGCGTTGATCATCGAATACCAAACATATCGGAAAAAGATATCGCGTATCTTCGTTACAAGATTCATCAAGTTTCAGAGTATTACATTCGTCGATACGGAAATTCTATGTAAATTCATGAAATTTTGCAATATGCTGATGTTTAGTACATTTAAATTGAATCCATTGCAGCATATGACATTTATTTACTAATAATGCGAACGAATCGAAATCTTCTCTTTATTATTTTTGTTTAGATTTTGTCAATAAATAGTTCGAAAGTAATATATGTTGTCTCATGATTTGTATTAATGTGTATTGCATACATATTGATATCTAGTAGTACTTTTGTTTTATTGTCGAATCAAATATGAAATCGATGTCTCTGTGTTTCCAATGTATACCAATACCAGTCAGAGATGGGCAAGTCAAGTCAAAATTCAAATCAATTCTCATCAAGTTTTCTTGTATTCGTGAAAGATCAAGATATGATATTTTCATTCTATTTCAAACGAAAAAGAGTTTCCAACGAAATTTCACGATATGTAAAAAATAATTAGAACAAAAAATATATTACAAAAAAATTGATCTGATCGTAATAACCATTAAAAAAATGTACTGATTATCAAAAATATATTCTGACTAAATTTCACAATTGTATTTTAATAAGGTCAACTATTGAAGAGTTTTTCGGGTTATTCGAGCACGGTAAACTCGGCAAAGAAAACTGCTTGAGAAAAAATACGCTCGACAGTGGCTGTTGTAGCCAGTATACATAAATATTTTGTAGCTAATGTGTTATATAAATTAGATGCTGTTGGTTTTGAAAGAGCGTCAACATTTCTAAAGTCCTTTATTTGACTTCAAGCTGAATTTACTCTGGGAAAATAGTTGTTCGTTTCTAATTATATTTTCCTGTTACATTTCAAATTAGAAACCAAAATTGAAGTGCATAAAAAATTTATATGCTTATACATTTTTGGACTTGACTTGACTTGCCCATCTCTATTATAAACTTGCTTAGTTGTTTAAAGTTAATATACAGTGGCGAGGCCAAGGAGGTGCGACAGAAGGAAACTTAGCCTTCCTCTACTCTTACGGGTTGGACTCATCCCGTACTCCAAAATTCTGGCTTCACTACTATTAATATGCCATGGAACGTAGTGAAACCTCTACTTGCTCGTTATAGATTGATTATGAAATAAGAAAAATACAGAGGTGAGATATTTAATTGAGGTGTATTGTATATTCAATATGAAATTATTTAACTAATATCAGGGATACGATGGAACGAGTATTCATATTGCTTTAGGTGACATTTCCGTTAAATAATTTGATAGACTCTGATAAGGATCTAAGTGTATTCGGAACTTTGGACGGAATGAGCCCATATTCCTACTTAATAATATTACTTGAATGATAGTATCAACTTCGTATAGGTAGAGATATAGAATGTCGGTAGCGAATGAAAAGATTTGTAAGTCTGACTGATGCAGTAAGAAAGTAGGTATGAGGTTACAGCGTAGCAAAAGAAACTCGGACATCCACACGTACACCCTTTTATCAAGTCAAGAGATAGATGCAAAACAAAACAGTCTTCCGAATATTTTCAATATAATGAAAATTAAAATTTTATCGTTTACCTAAGTTGACATATGTGCCAATTTAAAAAGAAGAAATATAACATTATGAGAATCCTGTAGTAAAATTTTGTCTAACATATCTTTTACAATTTAAGCTACATTGGTTGTTTCATAACAAACGAAGTGTGACAACAAAAACAATACTGAGAGAAAAAATCTATTTGAATTACACTATAAAAAAAATTTGCTGCATTCATCTGCTATTGATTTAAAATTATATTGGTTATTTATTTAAAAATAATTAAGATTATATAGAACAAAAACATAAACAAAATATATCCCTGAAGCAACGAAATTTTTACCACCATAAATGTAAATCATTATTAATATATTTAATAGAATAATTGTTGAGTAAGTTTTCTGATTTAATTAAAATTTGTGTTTGTTTTAAACATACTTTTGGTACCTTCATAATACATAAATAACATAAATTTCGTGTTTTATTATGAGTTTTCGATAATAAGAATCGAATTGTTTGTCCGATTTCTTTTCTGTTCATGTCAACTTTGAGATATTTTAATCTTGGAAATACATTCACAACAAATTGGATGTCACTTAATGAACGTTTCCAATTGAGAATTAATTTTTGTATTTTATTTTTCTTTGATACATTTTGAAAAATTTCATTTTCTTTCTTTGAATTCTTATTAACATTATCCAATAATAATAAACTCAAACTTAATGTATGCACATTAGGTGTAAAATATAATAAATTGATAATGTTTTTAATTGGAAAAATCCAACATTCAATAACTAGTTTCGTCAATTGTATTAAAGGAATCATACGATGAAGAGTTGCAATAATAGAATTATTTGATTTTATAAATTCATTTTTAATAGATAATGTTTTAACGTTTGGAAAATAATTCACACCATTATGTTCGATTTCTTTACTAACGATATAAAAATGTTTCACTGAATTTAAATTTTCTTTCTGAATATTTGAACATATTGGATTGACCGACTGACAATAATATCTATAATCTTTTCGTCTAAATAGAAAACGAATACAATCAATCTGTAAAACTTGTCAGCATAATCTCTTTTTCTCGATTAATTTTAGAGTTGAATCACTTAACAATATGAGAATTTCGCCATATCGGCAAGTAATTTATCAATTACATGAGATTTCTGGTAAACTGTATTCTAAAGCTATTTTCATTCGCATATATCAGTTTTAATAGGACTATCGGATGGAGAAACTCTCGTATTTAAATATGGATCAATCAGACATTTCTCTCTCATTCATATTTTCAAATGTGAAATTATCTCACATATTCATGAAAATATGTCTAAAAAACGAAATTCATCTGTGCCTATCTGTTTGTTTGTAAGGGAGTCGTCAAAAATCACCATTTCAACGCTTAAAAATACTGTTTGATACATTAATGGCCATTTTTTTACGTTTTTTCTAGCATCACTCTTCCAGAGTGCTCATATCTAAAATAACTTATGAAGATTCGCCAATGTCTTCAATATAGAGTAAAATCTATCGATTCTTGACACATTTCTTACTAAATAGCCTTGCATCTTATTTTGTCGAATGAGATAAGCTGCAACTCTCAAACTCTATGTATTCTCCAGTTCCCATAAAAGATGATCGTGAGTGCGACTTTTCTGGATGACAAACAATTTCTATTTACCGATATGGAGCAGTTGAATAAAAAATTTCACGATTCAGTTCGTTCTTCCTATGATGGTGTGTAAAAAACCATCTTTTTTCTATCCAAAACGAAGAATTAAATTGATGGATCATGTCATGATATGTTAAATTATTATTCGTTATAGAATCTTCATGATTTATATCAAATATACGTAAATATGGCATGTAAGATATTATTAATTCTTGCCATCGTTTAGCATTTAAATAGTCTTCATTAATACTTGTTATAAGACGTAAAACTTGAACATGATAAAAATATTTTTTGATAATGCTTTCCAATTCACCAAAAAATATTAAATCAAGTTTAATTGAAACATGTTTTAAATATTTTAAGTCAAAAAAAGATAATTTTTCTTGTTCCATAAGAGAAATAGATAAACAAAGAGAATTTATCGATAAATGTTGAAGTTTAGAAAGGCAACATAATAAATTATGAAATGCATTGAATGGAAATCGACCATTTATTATTAAACATTCAACAGGACTTGAGTCATGTTGAGTTAAGTAGAGTTGAAATAGTTTATAATCATAATCTTTAGTTTGATATTCAATTTTACAATATTTTAAATTTGGTAAATGAAAAATATTTAAAAAAAGAATATTTAATGTTTGATTGTAACTAATAAGAGATATAGTTAATGAATGCAATTTTGGCAACTCTATTAAATGACGAAAAACATTATTTAAATATTTAATTTGTACGTTATCAAGAATCAATATTTCAAGATGAATAAAATTTAAAAGAGTACGTGGTGGTGAGAAAATAATATCAGCAGTAAATGGATTTGATAAACGAAGAAATTTTATTCGATTTCGATTTAGTATAAGAATATTTCGATAATAATCTACGAAATTTAATTTTGATATTGTTGAAATATTGATTTTAGTTAAAATATTTGAATTAATAGCTAAATTTTGAAATCGTTTATTAAGATTATAAAATCCTTTATAAATATCATATACATTAAGATATTCAAATATTTCATAAAGAATTTCATTGGCTAAATCTTCAAAAATATAAACTCTATTTGAATTGTTTGAATTGATTGATGTTACTAATATTAGAAAAAGATAAAAATTAAATATAACATATATATATTAATGGAAAATATTACTTTGATTTTCTAATTTTCGTTTTTTATTAATATTTAAAAATTGAACTAGGTCATTGTCTTGCTGTTTTGCTCGTTTCATGTTTAATATAGTTTGATAAAACGATGATACTAATTGAGAATGTCGTTTTTCGATTGACCGTAAATATTTATATACATGTTCAACAATAAACACATTATCTTTTTCTTTTCGACGCATATTGAAGACAAGCTCTGCTGCCGACGATTTTGTTTTTGTTTCCTTGGACCACATTGACGGCTCATCTTTGGCACGGGATACAACTTTCTGATCGATTTAGAATTGATTTTATGATAGCTAGAATAACTTTACCATGGCAATATAAGAAGAAATAATTATTAAAGAACTATCGGAACTTATTTATATATTTCAGAACATCCAGATGATGCCCTCTGACCATCACTTAAGAAATTCATCTCGACAAAAAATATTTTCTTCCCGAGATATTCGACTCTAGAAAAATCGAAAAATTTTCACATTCTTCATGAGATATGAGTCAGATTTGCATTTGCACGTCAGATAAGAAAACTTCTCAGCTTATCTTCCTCATTGACAGGCCTATTTGTAGTCTAATAGTTTTAGTTTAGTAATAAATACTCAACATTATACACTTTACTTGCAGTACAACACCTACAAATCTCAACACTAGATTTCAAGAAATGTATCCTTTTGGGACTTTTATATCTCAATGAGATCTACCTGATGTACAAAATCTGAACTAGAAAGTAATTTGATCATTTATAAAATATTCGATCCTGAGTATCAGTTAGAATTGAAATCTATCTCTAGACAAAGCCAGTGTTACTACCACATTCACACCAATATTACTTTTTGCAACCTGAAAATATCTGATATATGTGACAAAGCATTATCTGTTTTAGTTATCATATTGAAAAATAATCATTTACACAGTATTGTTCCTGTTACGGCCATTTTTACAACATTTTTGGCATAATGAGCTTCTCAACTTTCGTTGAGTAATTAACAGGTTCTATTATCACACTATGAATTGAGAGCTAGTCAATGAGAATATTCAGAATATGTAAAAAGATACGTCGAAAAATCTATTTTATCCGAAAAAAATCTTGAAACAGTCATAAGAAAATAGTTTGATATGGAGTGATAAAATCATAATCTAACATACAAAAAAACAATGAAACAAGAATATTCTAAAAGTTGATATCATTTTTCGACGAAAATCAATAAAATAGTATCGTCGAATTTTCTTCATTGTACTCAATCGAGAAATATGAGAAACAACATTTTATAAAGGTCTTGACGACATCTATTCAATGATGCTAAAATAAAATATCACCAATAAATATTGCAGAATTTATCGGTATCTTATTTTTTATTGTTTGACCAGATCTTTCATTAAATTACATTTGCTAATTAAAATAAAATCACAAAAATAAATTGAACATTCGATCTCTCGTTTACTTATTCATACAAAAACAAAGGAATTAAATATATCTTAAACAACTAAATATTCACCATGATTAATATATTTAATAGAATAATCATTGAGTAAATTTTTTCATTTAATGAGAACCATCGAATTCTTTTAAATATATTTTTGATATGTCTCAAATATCTTCTAATGGAAAATGACAAGCTTCAAATAACTAATTTCATAAAGTATTTTAAAAGAATCATAAGATAAAGATTTGTTGTAATAGAATCATCTGATGTTTCAAAAAAAAAATTAACAGTCAATTGATTCTGAAATCAAGATTAAACAAACAAGGTGAATGTTTCCACGAGAATGATGGATTTTCCATTATAATTGCATAATCTCCAGATCTGTATTGTATTTTTTCACATTTATTGAACACAACATCTAATTGCATAAATTGATCGATTTTTCTAGCAGAAACACGTGTTTCACTTAATTTTTCTAATACATGCGCCATCGTAATCGTTACAGTAGACCGAACTATAGAGAACAAGGTTGGTACCGGGAAAATATTTGCTGGCTGCAAAGTTTGACCCATGAGCCAACTTCCACTGAATGTTGCAAGAGAAATTAATGGTAAGATTGCGAAGAAGAGACCAACATTTAGCGCTCACAAAAAAACTAGATTTGTAAAGGCTAGAAAATTCATGTAGACGTATTTGACGTACTCGTTTTTCCATAGCTTCTTCCCAATTGTACATTTTAATAATTTAACACCCCTTCACAAGCTCATTAATTGCTTGGACACACTTATCTGTACATAACATTCTTACCATTCGATATCGACTAAATAGTCTGCTAAAGATGATTTGCTATAGTACTATTAGAATAAGCATCGCATAACCGAATACTGTCGGAAGTCCAATGTACTACCAAATTAAAACAAATGTCGTGATGGGTTCCATAGGTGTCAACAGTAGAGCATACATGAAAAAACAGAATTCTTGAAATTTACCGGCATCATTCGCTATTAGATTGATAATTTTAGCAGTTGTAGTCTTATGAAATGCTACCGTACTGACAGTCAACAAATGTTTATAGATAGTGCATGATAATGCATTTTGAAATTCGATTTATTGATGCATAGTACCATATAGGATCGCAGCTACACATAGTGCAACAGCATATAGATAAGCTGCATAAATAGATAAGTTCGATTGACCTTGAATGTAGAGAACAATTTCACGAATCAGTCATGGCTGTGCAATACGAGCTAGAATGTATGGAAAACGAAGCAAAATAGTTGGAATATAATCTTTGAAAAATGTTCGTATAACAACATGCCATATACCAAGCCATCTGAATATAAAGCAATCTACTCTGTGCAAAAATGATGGAGATTTATCGGCGACAGAAAGACCACTAAAATCGTCATCAGCAATTATAAGTTGATTACTTAATGAGAGAATAGATGTTGTCCAATTGAAAAACACAAGATAAATCCATCTTGTGTATGACGATTGAGCCCAATCTAAACGACATGATTCTCGTTGCTTTTCTAAAATATATTCATTACAATCATACAACTACATTGTACCACTCTATGGAACAGGCGCATGAATAGGTTATCTAAGGAACTTCAAATCAGAAACAATGGATTGAGAAATTTTCATTTCTCTTATGAATGTATAAATTAAAAAAGTATCACTTCTATGCTACTTCGAAATACTGCTAGGCACGGTTGAAAGCGTTAAGAAAAACAATCGAGAAGTAAGCTAGTCTCTGTATCTACTGCTGGAGAATTTTTGTAAAGTATAGATTAACTGAAAAAAGTAATTACTGTATATTTGTACTGAATGACTATAGGACTTCCACTTATTTTTCTATTCGATATTAGACAGCATCCTTCTTTTTATCATATGTGACTACATTTGTGAATGCCACGATTAGCTTTATTTTTTACATTACTAATAAAGTCATAGGAGCATAATAGTTTTAAAATTTATGCTGATACACTTCTGTAGTAAATGCATTTCCAAACACAATTGCTTCTGGACCTTTATACATGTCCTAGTATTACCGACTATTAGTTCAAATTCATGTGAAATTGTTCGAAATCATCTCATTTTTGATATATTATGATCATGTCATTGGTATAGTACACATATGCATCTGTTTCATAACTACTTTATTGTCCACATGATTTTCAGTTGTTCAGCTTGACCAAACTAATCCTAACGAATGAAAATAATTCTGAATCGTAGCTACAATTTCGTACAATTCATCAAGTGAAATGCTTATTTAGTATACAAGCGAATGAGATAACAGAAAAATCTTCACTGCAACTAACTATTAAGAAAAATTAAGATAACTTGTTAAAGTTACAAAGAGGGTATCAAATCTGAATGAAGTAGTACAGAGATTCTACTCCGCTTTTTGAATTTTTGGATACTTTAAATTACCAGCAAAGCATCGGATTTTTAAGCTTCGCTTAGTTCATTCGTGAAAGCAAGAAAATATGGTGTAGAGTATTGAATATAACATTATTAAATAAATCGCTGAAAATGATTGAAATAAAATTAAAAAATCTATCATATGAATATAACGATCAACTAGATATGCAAACAGAACAATTCTAATAATACTTTCTTGTATATTCTAAAGCATCTAATGAGTTTCATGTGCGTGAGGCAGGCCCGTAGGCAAGGGGGGAGCCCGGGGGGCCCGAGCTCCCCCTAACCTTTTCTTCTGTAACACTTATTACTGAATCTTTCTGGGATCTGCGCTCCGAAGGACAGCCTTGCGAAACAAATCACTATGAATGAAGGTGATTCTTAGTTAAAGTGCCACTATTAAGTTATTCGTTCCTGTTAGGTAGTCACAGCTCCGCTCTTTCTTCGTTACGTTTCTCTCTATATTCATATTGTTACTTTTTCCTTCGATTGTCACGCCTTATGAATTTATCCTTGTTCTCTCTTTTATATGGGCTTTTCCTTTTCTTTTGTTCTATGGATTTTCCCCTCTTCTGTTGTTGTTATATTATATAGGTGATTTCCCTTCCTTTTCATTACGTAGGACTTTCCCCTATTTCGTTGGATGTTTTCTTTTCGTTGTTGTATATATAGAAGTTGATTTGTTGCAAATAAACAGAAAGCGATTAAGGGCTCCCCCCCCCCTCAAAAAAAGTCAATTTTTGTCAAAAATTTCGAAATTGAGATAAATGCATGGGAAGATAGCCCGTCTTCAGATATTTCAAAAACGACATTGGTTTTCTTTGGCATCTCTTTTTTGGTCAAGATTTTCGATGATTTTCATTGACCTCTTCTTGAAAAATATGCTTATTTTTAAAAAAACAAAAAATGTTTTTCGTTTTTTCTCGATTTATGATTTTTTGATTTTGGGACAAGGAATTCTCAGTCCCGGCTCGGGCAATATATTTAAATTTTTTTTTGTTTGAAAGAGCGCGTCGAGATGCAGGTCATCACAGAGTCTTTTTTTTAATTAAGCTTTGTTTTTTATTATATATACAGACACTTATGTGGCTGCACACCCATTTTTGGCGCGTTTTTTGAGTCATTGGACTTGTGATCTCCTTTCTCCGCTAAAAAAGTAAGAATCTTAAAAAAAGGACTCTGTAGTGCCCTGCATCCTGACATGCTCTTTCTAACAAAAAAAAATTTAAATATGTTAACAGAGTCTAGACCGAGAAATCCTTGTACCAAAATGAGCAATTTTTGATCCTTGTTTGGTTCATATCTCTGTCAAACATCAGGGTATTGAGCTA